AAGTGTAAATGATGCAACAACTTATCACAAACTGGTAGTAGGAATAGGGTTTTTGAGTTCTTGGCAGGGCTGAACCCTGAATTTGACATTGCTAGGCAACATATTCTTTCTAGGGAGGGTGTGACATTCTCTCAGGCCTATGCTTTTGTCTCTGGATAGGAGAGTAGGAGGAATGTAATGCTGAGACAGCCTGGGATTGACCAATCAGCTATGGTTGGTACAACAAAACCTAAGCCGAATGGAGACAACGGGAGTAGTGAGACTAGAAGGGAAGATAAGAAGGACTTGGTGTGTGATTATTGCAAGAAGCCTAAGCATACCAGGGACACTTGTTGGAAGCTTCATCCAAATCTTATGCCTGCTCGGGTAAGAAACAAGAAGGGAAATGAAAATGTAGCCACTACAGGAGACTCTTCAGCCCCTTTCTCCCAAACTGATTGGGAATCCATTGCAGTAGCAACAGTGAGAACAGAATTGGAGAGGTTTGGATAGCTTGAGTAAGAAAGATTCACCCAGCTCTAGCCTTCCAGATGGACAACAGAATGTAGGAGCCAACTACACCACTTCCTTTGCACATACAGGTAGTTCATATGCAACTACAAATCTTGCATCCACTTCAGGTAAGGAGGGACCTCCCTGAATTATAGACTCAGGAGCATCTGAGCATATGACTAATGCCCCTACCATTTTCAGTTCCTATCAGTTGTGCTCTAGTTTAAAAGACTGATACTGGGTGAATCCTTTATTACTTGGTTTAAAAGCAGAAGTACTTCTTTTATTACTTGGTTTAAAAGACTGTCTACAATGCTTTCCTAACTGACAACTCTCACACTCCAAAGTGGATAATTGAATAGACTCAAACAACTTTAGGAAAAGACATTTCAAATAACTAAAAGAAAAATGTCCCAAGCGATTGTGCCAAAGCATAATCTAGTTCACTGACTCTGACCCACTACTACTGCTGCTGCTAACATGATAGCCCTGATGTCTTGGAATCTCATCCAGAAGGTAGACTCCATTTACCTCACGACCAATCCCAATCATCTTCTTTGACTCTAGATCCTGTTATGTTTTCTGATTATAATGTTTATGTCCCTAACACGATTGTTGTAGTTGATCCCACTGACCTTGATCTTCCCATTGCACTTCGTAAGGGGAAGAGAAAGTGTACAACCCACTGCATTTCACACCATCTTTCCTACAGTACCTTATCACCCTCCTACCGTGCTTTTCTTTCTTCCCTGGATT